TTTTTTTTAAATTTTTTGCATTCTTTTAATTATTCAATTATGTTACCTCATCCTCGCCAGATTTATTTTACAAATCTCAACACAGAGATTGGGTACAGAAACGTCCGGGTGAATCTACAGGCACGATGCGAGAATTTTTCTTAGCGACCACGTATCGTTCTACGGTTATATCCTTCTTTGGTCTCTATCGCTGGACATGAAGCGTGTTACGGGTTCAGCTGTCGGACAGCGCATCGTCGCTGGAATGTCGCGATCTAACGTTAACGCGATTGCATTCGTTCCTAGAAGCTAAATAATGCCAACGTACTCGACCTAACTAACCGGTGTGTTCCTCGAGATGCACGCGTGCTGCCTGTGCGGGCCTATCTTCTTTCGCTTCGAGGTAAACGGCGAGCGGTAAACGTTCTCGGTAGGTCGTCGCGGCGTGCTTCCTCGAAGGCATTATTTTCACCAGTGCCGGAATTCTTAGTAGCACGTACACACACCCCGATAATACTTATCGGGCGACCTTCTTTCTGTCGAAGACGCGGCGCCTTCTCGCTAGCGATAAACGCGAGGTCAGACACGAAACTCTTCTTCGTTTCGCGATCACAACGTGATCACGAGTTAAGCTGCCGCACCATGACGAGATTCACCCCCTCAGACTCGTGCCAGACGAAATAAGTATGTCGAAAGCGATGCCCACACGGTGTTTCTACGTTTTTTATAAATTTTTATAAAGCGACTCGAAGAATGGGTTAGAAAATTGATTTACATAGTAAGTATCGTAAGAACTGTTACGCTTTGAATATTTCATGCATTTCTTCACTTCATAAATGCAGATGAAACAATCTTTTACGTTTGTTTATTGTATGATCTTGTACAGATCTATTGCATGGATAATCAAATTGGTTTGCTTGCCAGAGGTTTGAAAAGAATAACGTATTACAATATAATGAATAAACATATCAAAAAGTATATGTTTAAAGATAAATGAAATTCTTAATTTGTTATGTGCTCCTAATTTTGATTATTTTCAGCATTCAGAGGAGCGTATAACAAATTAAAAATGCCTTCAATCTTAAGCATATCCTTTGATACGTTTATTCAATGTTTTAAATTTCCAATAAGTAAAACAGTTTTTTTTTATTATTGACTATACGATTATTTGTAACTAAATATTCAGAGGGTTAAAAACTGTGCGTTTATGAAAATAATAATTTTTACAAATATTCTAATATATTTCGATAAAGATCATTTCCTTTAACGATGCAATGAAAATCTACAATTAATCTCAAGTCTTAATTTTAATTGACAAACTGTATTGATGGGCCTGAACTTTTAATTAAATTTATTCAAAAATTATGCTTCGCGTGTTTCATTAATAATTTGCGAATCTTCTTTTACTTTAACAAAGTAAAAACTAACATGTTGATTCAATGTACACACTCGTGAAGGAACATTGTCTAACAACATAGTAACATAGTACATCGCATGTCGAAGGTTCTGTGAAAAAAAAAAAAAAAAAAAAAAAAAACGAATATACTACTCACTTTGGATTCTTGACCATCAGTTTGCGCATTAGATCGCGCGCCTCCTCGGACACATCCTCGAACAGATCGTCGGGGAAATCCAGGCGACATCGGCTAATGTTGCAGAACGTTTCCTGCTTCGTGTCACCGCCAAACGGGGAGCATCCCGTTAGCAATACGTACAACAGAACTCCGATGGACCACATGTCTGTTGCCAAGCTGATCGGTTCGTAGCTCAACACCTCGGGAGCTGGAATTATCACGGCAGACGCGTGCTTTTCAGTGTGAAACCAAGAAAGGAGAAGCGTCGAGAGATCGGTACAGCGCATAATAATATTCTGTTCGTTGAGAACCGAAAATTGAGAACAAAATCTTAAGATTATTAAGTAACTCGATCTTAGATTATTGTGACGAGACAATTTGATGCCGAACTTATAGGACTTTTTTAGGAAAACGTATTTTAAATCTACCACATTTTGTACGCTGATGTCAAAATTTGATCCAATTTATCTTCTGCAACATGTACAGTTGTCGAAGCTAAAAATTAATTTAAGTTAATTGAAAAATCATTAGAAATCGATAGAAATGTGTTCTTTGTTTCTTGCCTTCATTTTTTTTTCAAGAATATTCTACAGAGTTGTCCCTTAGACATTCACGTTACCAACGTGAATGCAATCATGCTACGTTGCCTAACGAAAGGTTTCATTCAAGTCGACTTTGCGACCGTTACATCCACGTTAAAAGTAATAGCGTTGAATAATCGTAGGGCTCGTAAATGCGCGAAGCTTTCCCGGCCGCTCGAAAAGTGGCTTGTTCTGTTCAATTATGCAACGGCCCTGTTTCTTTAATGGAATTACGCGGTAGAAAACCAGCCACGGACTCGATTCACCGTGCGAATACTGGCTGCCGGCCACGCAGAGAAATAATATAGCTACGTGACGAATTGTTCGTAACTTTTAAACTCGAGGACACGTAATTTCCCTCGTTGGGATTACAGGATAGGATATACACATGGTTGAAGTGCAATCATGTTACTCGTTATTTTTTTATTACCCGCGTGAAATTAATGCAATAGAAAATTAGCGCATGTAAACGATTTCCCCGAGCAGTTTAATTATAGCAGTTTCATTATCGCGCGAACTACCACACCAGTCAGAATGACTGGTTTTACAATTTTATTTTAATATTTCCATTTCATGTTACATCTCATCTTGCAGTGACTAAAGAAATAATACAATGAATTTTATTTCATTTTTATTTGTTAGAAATACCAGTTTCTCTTTAAATATTTCAGGTTTTCTTAAAATACCGGAAGTCCTCCGGTTGTTGATTCAAACGGAAGTCAGGAAGTTAGAAATAGAAAGATTCGAGGACTACGGCGCCGTGTTTCGCATTTCGCGACGAATCAACAGTGGAAAGTTTCAAATATATATCAACAAACAGGCCACCGTTCGAGGGCATTCTTTTCTTGTTCGTCGCTCCAGGGCCAGGATTACTCACCAACGTAATCGGGCGTGCCCAGAATCTCCCGTATGTCTGCGCCGTGGCTGATGTACCGCGAGATACCGAAGTCGCAAAGTTTCACGTCGCAGTCCGGGAACTCGCCGGTCAGGACCAGATTTTGAGGCTGAAACAGTCAACGAAACGATCAGAGAATCGGGAAACAGGCAGAAAATCCTTCTCACCTCCGAAAGAAGGGAATGAGAGAATTTTTCCCGAATTAGAAAGAAGTGATTGCTTTCTCGCGCGCGAGCAGCAGAAAATGAAGAAGAAGGCTTGTCAAACGAGACGAAAGAGCTCGTTATTTTCTTTCGTCGTCCCGTGTAATTGCTTGCAGCTCGCCGCTCTGCCCGGCGAAAAAGACGTGCAACCACTCATATTTTATCCCGGAGGAACTGAGGCGTCTCTCTCGATTAAACGCACGACGCGATCGTCGGCCGGTGAACGCCGTTTCATATTTCACCTGGCCGACGTTTTACAGCCAGGATAAATTATTCGGAGCGATCTTGTCGTCACAATTATGCCGGGTAGCTGGCAGCGGTTTGACACCGGTAAAAGAGGAATGTATGAAAGGGACAATCGTGCACGAGATGTGATCAAGGTGATCCTTTTTCTTCTTTCTTTCGGTATCGTATCGGGATTTCAGCGATCAACATGCACCGTGTCTACGCGCAGTGTCACTTAATTAATGCTATTTAATAAACGACGATTCGCCGACGCGTCCGTCGCGTAATCGGGGTAATTAATCGTTTTACGAGTGCTCGCCAGAGTGGGATAAAATGACGTATAGTTAATGAACGGTGTATTTCAATCGTAAGTGGAAATACTTCTGAAAGGAAGAGAGTCCTTCTCTAAACAATCTCAATGAGATTCTAAAGCATACTGGTGAGAAGCTTGTTTCAATTTTCTACCTCTGAAATGTGCTTTAAGATACCTTTTCTTTTTTCTTTCAAACAATTTCGAGTTTCAAACATCTGATTTGTCTACCATGTTCAATTCCATTTGTAATTTAAATTTACAGTTTGCTACGTCCATAAAATGATACTGACAATATTACTTTCAATCATTGATTCTCCATTGTGGACTACAACGATTCAGGATTGTGATTAAAAAATTGCATTAAAAAATTGACCAGCTAAATCAGGTATTTTGTTACACGTTAATAATCAAACGAAATAAACTAACTCTCGTGTGCCTTTATATGATGAAAACTATACAAATCAGAAGTATCCTCGACAGACAAATGCATCGACGAAAGGAACGAGGAGGAGTTCCTCCTCTTCTCATTTTCACCTATAACCTCGGCATCCTGTTTCTTTCGCCGCGTTGCTGTACAGCAGTCGAGCGCATTGTTCGATTGTTTCAAGAGGAAAGAGGCGCAAAAAGAGAAAGAGAGAGAGAGAGAGAGAGAGAGAGAGAAAAGGAAGAAGAAAAAACGATCGAGAAAGGAGCATGAATCGCTCGGCTAGGCCGCGCCACGACCTTTCTTATCGTCGATCGTTTGTATTCGCGTATCCAGCCTTTGAGTACTCGTTCGTACGCCCACGCATCTACTTGCGATTCCATCGTCTACGGATTGCAGCTTGCGAGCGAGTCTTTCTGCAGGAATTGATCAATTAATCCCTGCTTCTATATCTTCTATATAAATAAAAGCTTTCTTTCGTTGCGTTTTTATATAACATCAATATATATATATATATATATTTTTTTTTTAATATCGTGCTTTCCACAATATTGCAATATTACTTGTCTTTTATCGCAACATAATCTCGCAGATGTTGGCACCACAAACGTGTTTAAACACCGACAAACAAAACAATCATAGCAAACTGCAAAGAAATTGCCAATTAGCGTGATAGCGTGGCAGGAACGTTTAAGGGAAAGCTTCTTCTTCTTCTTCTTCTTCTTCTTCTTTCTTTAGCTCGATTAGCAAACGTTATCGTCGATGGAGTCACCGTCAACGTTCCACGAAACGGTGTGTGTGTTTCGCGAGCGAGCGCGTATCGAAGCGATTGCGAAAGATCCCCCTCGATCGTTTCGCTTCGTGGAATACCAGCGTCGACGGTTAGAATAAATATATTCCTCTCTGCCCCTCTCGTCGAACGATTCACCTTCAAAACTTCTCGATCGAGAAAGCAGATAGGCTAAGAAAATTGGTAAAGCACGCGAGGAGGGACGAGAGCAACGAGGAGGAGAACGATGGCGTGCACACGCTTCGTTCCGCTCGTGGATTCAGTTTGCGCGTTACGTTTCGTTATACGCCGCGTTACGAGTCGAACGTGACCGGACTGCGTCGCATGATACGCTTGAAAAACGCGCTCCTGTAAAGTCGAGGTCGTGGGACGTTTTGCTCGTGTTGGCCCCTTTCCGTTTCGACACTCGGTTTGCGGTTACGCCTTGTCCACCTCTCTCGTCACTGCGAGGTACAATTCAAAATATAACGTAGCAGATATCTCGAAAATGATGAATTGACGAATATATTGGTTAACTTAACTGTTGAAAGTTATTTCAAATGATATTCAATTTATTTGAACGATGATTTCGAGAGAAGTTACATCGATTAATCCCATAAATTAAAAGGGGAGAAAATTAAACACATTATTCCCCAATTGGAATTTTGTTTAAAGATTTTTACACACCTCCTAAATTTAACTTATCAAATAATCATATCTCTGAACGATGGAGTTGGAAAGATTCACAAAAGTGGAGTATTCGGATAAATTTCTATTGAAACGATTGATCGTGTAATTTCTAATTCTAATCATCAGGCTTCACAATCATTGATGGACTTCAATCTCTGCGAGACACGATCCCAAAAGGCGAAGCTGTTCAACCAGCCTGTTTGGAAACGGACTCGACTCCCGGAAGTCGTTCAATAAGGAACAAAGACATTTCCATAATTAGTCATTACGGAGTTCCTGCGCCAGTCGTGTCGTTTCTCGACACGTTCCTCGCCGCGCGTGGGCGTCGACGATCGATTATCACGAATATTATTGCCACGTGAGCGCGAATCTCCTTTTCAAATAAGATCCCGGCGTTTCCCTGTTATTCGTCAGATGCCAAAACGTCTCTCGAGCCCAGCGTTTACGCGCGATGTATCGATCGAGCGTGTCTAGAGAAGTGTAACAGGTGAGCCGGTTCTCGGTGCTTGGTCTGTCGGATGTCGTCGTTTAACGTAACACACAGAGAGCGATCGCAAAAAACAGCAGGAAGGACGCGAGCGATTAAGTCAGGGTTATCTACCTTTTCGAGAGAAAAACGTAGCTCCGGGTAATTCTCACGATAGATACCTCGCGTAGAGATGGGATCGAGTATCTCACAACCGGTTGGCTCGAACCTCTTTCGAAGTATCACATGCCCGAATCTAAGCGAGATGGTTTCGAACGTTTCACGAATATTCCTCGAAATAGAAATCGATTATAGTGGATATTCTCTGTTAGACTGAAATGCTGATAGATAGAGATGAGATCGAGTAGATTCAGTGGATTTTTTTTTTACGCTCAATTTTCAAATATTCGCGCCAGGCGAATATTCTTTCCCGTTGTATCGATAGAAACGATTTAGTGCGCATGCGTTTCATGCGCATATGTCTAATAGAGGAAATTCTTTTCACATCAAAATATAATAAAGAACTTGTTTGATGTTTCAAATATTGCGTTAAATACACAGTCTTTTAACCGGAGTCTACGGTTTGGTAGAATATATAATATAAAAATATACAGAATGTATAATAAATATAAAATGTATAAAATAAGTCCATTGCGAGACGTTTTTAAATCATCATTTAGACATCATTCGTAAGTGAACATTCGACTTGATCATCTCTCTCTCTCTCTCTCTCTCTTGCAGCTGGTCCTCGGCGAGGAGGTCGACGATCGAATTTTCTTGATTAAAAGTTCGCGGAGGATCGGAATGTCAGGCGTGCGTGGAAGTGTCTGCGTATGGTTGCGAGCCAGAGGAGCTGGCTTTTTAGCCAACGGACAACGAATTTATGAGGATCCCGTCTCTCGCGTTCATTGAAACTTCCGGCGGTTGAGAAAAGGGGGAAGCGACCCTACGCTCTGCAAGCCAGACGTGAATACACGTGCGTGTATATGCGTGTACGTGTTGGTAGACGTGAATGCAATGCACGCTGTTTGAGGGAACGAGCTACGAGAAAGAATACATTAACCCTACTGTCCCTTTTGTGGATACGTAACGTGAAATGCGTATTCTCGTAATATAATTTTTGTAATATAATTAATAGATACTTCAAGAGGTATTATTTAATGTAATGTAGTAAAAATATTGCTGATAGATAGTATTAAAGTGTATCGTGAAACGTAATGAAGAGAATAACTGTTAGACGCATGTGTCAAGTATTTAAACATCTTCCTTTCTAGTTCTGTGATTGTGAGTTAATGAAGAAGATTGATTTTAGTATAGTGATGGAGAATAATGTTGCAATCCTATCTAATTATAATTATATATTTAATTCGATTTATTCTAATCTTGAGAATTAAGTGACCGCTATCTTCAAGAGGTTTAATGAACCTCTTCTCAATGATCTCGTTTCCTATTAAATGTTTCGTATCAGGTAGCTGAAAGTCGATATAAATTTCTTTCATTTAAAAACGATGTATTTTTTCAAATTAATATACAAACGAAGCAGCTTGCATTAAAAGCCTAACCCGAGACAAAACTGTCTTTAATTTCCTTCAGTTTGAAAGAATCTGTCTTGCTTAATTTACCAACTATCTCCCTGCCAACTATATATAATAGCTCTGGAAATCCCTTCATTTTGCAGAATCGATTCCCCGTAAACATAATTACTCTGCACAAACGCAACCATCACAGCACAAGCACAAATTTAATCGTTGCTCTCTACTGTATATGGTCGGACAGATTACGCTCGCTAGAAGC